ACCTATAAGTTCGTAGTGGTTCATAATAGCTGAATAAAATATTTTATAGATTTATTTTAAAAGTTCAGCAGAATTACTCATTAATGTTATTTATGAATTGTTTATTAACCAACTCCTTTTTTCATTGTTGAGAACATATAAAATCAGTAATAGAACATACTGCATGTCTTTTTCGCTGTATATTTATAACTAAGTGCCTGAAGGACATGAGATACTGTTTTATTTATTTTATTTGAATTATATGCCAGAGACTAAGCTCTTGTGTATTCAGGGATACAATTTATAGTATTAATTAAAAGCAGCTTTACTTTTCTCCCCAGAATGAATTCACTGTATTCTTTATTATATGTGAATCTCAAGTTTGTTCTTTCACTCATGATTAGTTTTTCTTGTCTCCCTGTCTCTCACTCCGTGATTCTTTTTCATTTTTTGCTTCCAACTTCTTGCATTTAACTCACCCCCATTCTTCTCTTTTCTCTCTCCCCTTCCTCACCCCCTTCCTCCAATATGCTCCTTAGGAAAAATGGAAATGACACAATATTTTCATTAAATCATTAATGAGCTTCTCCCGTTTATTTGTAATCAAATACTTTAAAAACTTTTTTTTCTTCAAAGTTGGTTGACCCTTACTTTTAAAGTTCTAGAGCTTCCTCATACCACCTGGTGATTAAACAATCACATGTAGGCAATATTTATTTTTCTGCCAGAAAGGCAGATGTAATCAATCACTTTTATAAATCAGAGGCTATGTTTTGAGCTGCATACATTCATGAAAATTCTATGTGACTATCAGGGTGAAAGAATATCTCTGTTTCTTAAAATAAAACACATATATTTAACTTTAAAATATTTTCATTTACATAATTTCACATTCACAGAAAAGCAAAGCAATTACCATAAACTCATTCCCCAAATTCCCCAAATGATAATTTTTAATAAATTTGCTAATTATTCTCATTTTATATGTACACATTTTTTCTGCTCCTTTTTGAGAGGAAGATGCAAACATGATGCCCCTTAACTTCTAAATATCCCTGTATTTCAAAGACAAAGGTATTTTTTTTGCCCACGCTCCGCCCCAGACAAAGATATTTTTTACATCACTGTAATATAATAATGAAAACAGGAAGTGACACTGATACAATATTGTATGTCAGTTTGCAGACCATGTTCAGATCTTGCCAGTTGTGCACATTAGTGTCCTTTACAGGAAGAGAAGCACCGCAGTTTCAAAGTCAGATCCAGCTGTCAGGTCTCTTCAGTGCCCTTTGATTTTGCCCAGTTTTTCATTCAGTTTTATGGCCTTTACATTAGAACATTTGACTGATTACCCTCATTAGTTTTTGGTAATAAAAGCTTTTTTTTGAGATGTAATTCATATACCATACAGTTCTTTCATTTCAAATGTGTAATTCAATGCTTTTTAGTGTATTCAGTTATGTGACCATCACCATAATAAATTTCAGAATATTTTCATCATTCCAAAAGGAAACCCATTACTTCTTAGCAGTTTCTCCCATTTCTTTCCCTACCCATCCAAAGGCAATTAGAAATCTACTTCGTTTTGGAAGATTGCCCTATTCTGGCCATTTCATACACATGGAATCATTTACTATTTGACTTTTTTAGTTTGGCTTTTTTCATATAGCATCATGTTTTAGCATATATCAATACTTCTTCCCCTTTATGGCTTAACGATGTTTCATTGCATGAATATACCAACTTTTTATCAGTCATTTGATTGCACTTTGCTTGTTTACACCTTTCTGCTCTTAGGAATAATGCTGCTACAAGCATTCATCTACACTTTTTTGTGTGGACATATGTTTTCATTTCTCTTGGATATATGAGGCTGGATCCATGGGTGGGTGGGTCAGAAAGTATCCAGCCATGTACTGTGAGAAATAGAGATATTTATTGAAGAAGGTATGAGATACAAGAAACATTGTACATAGGACAATGATGCCTCAGTTCCCTTCAAAGTAGGACCTCACACAGTTCTCCCAATTGCCAGCAGCTGCCTTGTCGTATTTTCCTGAATCTCACTGATGGTCTGAAATCTCTTCCCTTTCAGAGGTAATATTAGTTTTGGGTAAAGCCAGAAGTCGCAGTGCACCAAATCTAGGCTGTAAGGGGGCTGAGTCACCTGGGTGATTTGCGGTTTCGCCAAAAAATTCATGACACGTAATGCATGAGTGGCCACATTGTCATGTCGAAACAGCCAGTCACCAGTTACCCAGAGCTGCAGAGCTGCGGCCTTCTGAATCATCCAGGTAGCTTTCCACAGAGAAATGTTCAAGCTTAACACAAAATGTGATGCAGATTCACTTCTGTACTTGCTCAGTCATTTTGAGTACAGTGGCCACACTGTAGACATGTTCATTCAACGGCATCTACCACCCCCTCTGACTGGTACAGTGGAGTCGTCATTGTTCATTCACGCACATTCCAGTCCACTCTCCTTGGCTGCCAGGGTACATTGATGTTGCACAAGCCATTCTTGTTAGATTAGCAATGGCCGCGCTTTTTCTGGACTGACCTTGTATATTCTCATCTTGTAAAGGTGACTTACAATATTACATTAGTTCCAGGCGTACAGGTAGTGATGAGACATTTATGTAACTTTTGCAGTGATTGAAGTGACTACCTCATCATTTCCTTATATCAAAGATTCATCACTACTGAATTCATTGACCCCTTCACTGTTAAATCAGGCATAACCGTTGTAGTCTTTACGTTCCTGTTTGTTTGTAGCAGTTGACACTGTTGTCTGCTTCTCCTCTTTCAACTTTTTGTTACTCTGATTTTGATCACATTCTTTTAAGGAAACCACATGGACTCTCTTCTTAATAAAACCAAACCTGACGCTTCCAGTGGTTCCAGGTAGATGTGTCTCCAGTTAGGTAGGATTGTTTGGGACTAAGACTTCCCATTCTCAGAGATTTACTTTGATTTTGGCTGCATCCCAATAATTACTGCTACTGCTGACACCATGCTGGGCTAAGTGGTTGGAGGCAGAGCTGGATTCAAGTGTGTTTTCACGTCTTTCCTTATTTCATATAAGACACTGGGGCAAAGGAATGAATGCTTTAAAGAGATTTGCCATTGCATTTTTGGTGAAGTTTTTTTTTAAGCCTTTTTTTTTGTTCTCAGTTGAGATCATTGCAGCATTGTTATATATAATAAAGATTAGAAATAGCGTACATCCCATTAACAGGGGAATGGATTAATGCATTATGGTGTATCCATACATGAGTGAGATACTAGGTAGCTAGTAAATGAATGAAATAGATCTGTATGTCCTGATGATGTATAGAAAACAAGTCCAGGGCCGACCTATTTTATATATCATCTATGTGTGTTTCATAATTTGTGAACCAAAAAAAGGGAAAAGAAAAAAACTGCAGAGCAGTCAGACCCCTTCTGCACGATTTTGCTTTTTGCAGTTTCAGTTACCTGTGGTCTAGCACAGCTGGAATATTAAATGGAAATTTCCAGAAGTAAACAGTTTTTAGGTTTTAAATTGCGTGCTGTTCTAAGCATCTTGAAGAAATCTCATGCCGTCCTGCCGGCCTGCTCTGTGGCCCCGGGATGTGAGTCACCCCTTTGTCCGTCCAGTGTGTCTGTGCTGTGTGTGCCACATCCTCTGGTCACTTAGTAGCCGTTTCTTTATCAGACTGGCTGTTAGAGAGAGAGACATGATCGATTATCAGTACCTGGTTTTAATTGTCCTATTTCATCATTGGTTATTGTTCTTAATCTCTTACTGTGACTAATGTATACATTGAACTTCAGTGTAGGTATGTGCGTAGAGGAAAAAACATAATAGGATTTGTTACTGTCTGTGATTTCAGGTATTCACTGGGGGGATCTTAGAACATACACCTTACAGATAAAGGGAGACTGCTGTGTACAGGGTGGGGAAAAGTAGGTTTACAAGCCAGGTGTGTTTGTTCGGAGAATAATGCAGTTACTAATAAATAATAACACAATGTTAATCTCTTTTGTGTGCTCACAGCTGTAAACCTACCTTTGCCTACCTTGTATGTTTAGCACTAGAAAATGTCCTGGTATCTACTCCTCAAACTATTATGAGTGATTTCTTCTGAGGAGTGGGAATGGAGGGTGGGGGATGGTACGGGGACTTTATTTCTGCTTCATGTTTCTAGTTTGTTTGAATTGGGTCATCAAACATGTATTTCTTCTGTAATAAAGCAGTGATGAACTGAATATTAACTTATGATATATTCTTCTTTCACTTTCTCCATTCCTTTAGCTCCTTGGACTACAGTCCTTGCTTTTTGCATTTCCCTTCTAAACTCCAGCCACTCTTACCTCAGTCTCCCTAGTGGGCTTCTTATAATCTAATCCTGCTCATCCCCCAAGAAGCGTTCCTGGATCGCTCAGCCAGGTTTCACCGCCTCTCCTCCTTGATCTCTCGGCACCCTGGGAAATCCTTCCCAGCCGCTGTGTCGGGGCTGCAGCTGGCGTTATTTGACTTTGCAGTCCCTGGGCCTGAGCACAGCGCCCGGCACAGGGCGGAAAGTCATTAAAAGGGGTTTCAGTGTTCAAATAATAAAGAATGGAATTTGGGGTAGATCCCCTTAATATCAGTATGTCTTTTTCAGTAGTTTGTCATTTTCTGCCATTTTTCTCGAAGCTGTGTGTGAAGAGACACGCTTTAATTAAACTCCAGTTTGTGTCTCGGGCCATTCTCCGTCGATGTTGACAGGCTGTGCTGGCAAGTCTAGGAAGTCTAGTTCAACATCATACGGTTTTTGAAACTGTCGTTAGAAGACAGGAGAATGGCAGTTTCACACTTTATTGTAACAAAAAAAACAATACAGATCATTTTAAATAATATCTTCAAATGCATTAATTAAAGAAAAACAGGATTTGTGCGCTGAGATGTGTAACACTGACTCAAGCAGAATGATAATCACAGATTAATATCTCTTCTCTGTGTCAATTGCTTCTCTAACAGTTTGTTTTCTTTTCAGGTTCAACAGATAGATCGTGTAGTAGAAGTTGTGGAGGAAACAATTAAAGGTAACTTTTGAGAGCGAGATAAACAGAGGTATATATTGTACGTAAAACTGCCTTTTAAGAAGAGAGACCCGGATGAGACCCAGAGACGGTGTGCTGGACTGGGGAGCCCGGTCGCCGTCACTGCACTCCGGGAAGGAGCCTCGTCACCAGCTCCCACTGTTCCCAGCTCCTTAGCTGTCTCTTCAGTCTGTACTCTTTAGACAAATTTAAAAAAGATGGAGAGTCATCCACCATGGCAGTCTCAGGTGTTGCGATGATTTCTGGAGGTGTTAAAGCATGTGAGATTACATTAATAAAAATAATGTATTTTTTGGACGCTAAGATGTGGGCCCCCCCCCCCCCAATTTGGGAGTAAAAGTGGGGCTGTGTCTTATAGTCTGAATGTATCTTGCCTGGCTCATTGGGGGCGGGGGATGACGGCCTATGTTATTTATGTTATTAAATATTTTACCATGTTTTTTTCTTCAAAATTTTTTCCCTATTTTCCTCTAAAACCTAGGTGTGTCATATGGTCCAGTACATCTTAGAGTCCGAAAAATTTGTTACAACTTAATTAACATTTATTGAGGATCTTATGACAATTTTTGTTTTAGTTACAGATTTAAAGTTTTGCCTCTGACTGTTTTGTGTATTGACAGATCCCATATAAGAGACATGTATTGGTTTATCTTTTAAGTGAGTCAGCTTACAGTTATTTATTTATTTACTATACTAGGGTGATGTTGGTCAATAAAATTACATAGATTTCAGGTGTACAAATCTGCAGCATGTCATCTGTATACTGTATTGTGTGTTCACCACCACAAGTCAAGTCTCCTTTCATCTCTGTTTATCCCTCCTTTTACCCTGTTTTACCCCCCTCCCCACTCCCCTTTCCCTCTGGTAATCACCATACTGTTTGTTATCTGTGTCTGTGAGGGTTTTTTTTTTTTTTTTTTTGCTTAATCCCTTCACCATATTCACCCAAGTCCCAAATCCCTTCCCCTCTGATGGCTGTCAGTCTGTTCGGTGTCTCTATAAGTCTGTTTCAATTTTTTATTTTTTTTGTTTATTTTCTTCATTAGATTCCACATATAAGTGAAATACGTGGTACTTGTCTTTGTCTGCCTTGCTTACTTCATTTAGTGTAGTACTCTCCAGGTCCATCCATGCTTTGCAAAGGCTAAAATTTCCTTCTTTTTTATGGTTGAGTAGTATTCCACTGTGTAAATGAGCTATCTTTTTTTTTTTTTATCCATTTGTCTACTGGTGGGTACTTAGGCTGTTTGTAAATCATGACTATTATAAATAGCAGTGCAGTGAATATAGAGGTGTATATATATGTTCTTTTGAATTAGTGTTTGGGTCTTTTCAGATATGTTCCCAGAAGTGGAATCAGTGGGTCATAGGCAGTTCCATTTTTAATTCTTTGAGGTAACTTCACTTCACACTGCTGTCCACAGTGGCTGTACCAGTTTGCATTCCCAGCAACAATGCCCAAGGGTTTCCCTTTCTCCACATCCTCGCCAGCACTTATTGTTTGTTGATTTATTGATGATAGCCATTATGACAGTTGTGAGGTGATATTGAGATTTTAATTTGCATTTCTCTGATGATTAGTGATATGTAGATCATTTTTTCATATGTCTATTGGCCATCTGTATGTCCTCTTTGGACATACAGAAATGTCTATTCTGTTCCTTTGCCCATTTTAAAAAATAATTTTTATTCATTGACTTTAGAGAGAGGGGGTAGGGGGAAGAGAGGAATACATCAGTTCCTTGTTCAACTTATTTATGCATTCGTTGGCTGCTTCCTGAATGTGTCTTAACTGGAGATTGAATCTGAAACCTTGGCGTATCAGGATGATCTAGCCAACTTAGCTACCAGGGCAAGGCCCTTTGCCTATTTTTCAATTGGATTGTGTTTTAGTGTGGAGTTTTATAAGTTCTTTATAAATTTTGAATATTAATCCCTTAGCAGGTGTATCATTGGCAAATATGTTCTCCCATTTAGTGGGTTGTTTTTTCATTTTACTGATGGTTTCCTTTGCTACGCAAAAACTTTTTAGTTTGATATATTCCCATTTACTTTATATTTTGTGTTTCTCTTTCCTAAGGAGATATACCAGAAAAAATATTGCCACAAGAAATGCCTGAGATTTTACTGCCTATATTTTTTCTTCTAGTATTTTTATGAGCTTGAGCCTTACATTTAAGTCTTTAATCCTTTTTCAGTTTATTCTTGTGTATGAAATAAGAAGGTGGTCTGATTTCATTCTTTTACACATATCTTTCCAATTTTCCAACAACACTTATTAAATAGAGTATCTTTATCCCATTGTATGTTTTCTCCTTTGTCAAATGTTAGTTGACTATAAAGGGGTGGGTTTGTTTCTGGGCTTTCTATTCTGATCCATTGATCTATGTGTTTGTTTTTATGCCAGACCAGGCTATATTGACAACTGTGGCTTTGTAGTATAGTTTGATATCAGGTAGCAGGGTTCCTCCAACTTTGTTCTTCTTTCCCAAGATTGCTGTTGCTATTCTGGTTCTTTTGTGGTTCCATACAAATTTTTGGAATGTTTGTTCTAGTTCTGCAAAATAAATATATTGGTATCTTGATAAGAATTGCACTGAATCTACAGATTGCTTTGTGTAATATGGACATTTTAATAAGGATAATTCTATCCATGAATATGGTATATGCTTCCATTTATTTCTATTTTCTTCAGTATCTTTCTTCAGTGTCTTATAATTTTTTGAGTACAGGTCTTTTATATCCTTGGTTACATTTATTTATAATTTTTTTAATGTGATTGTAAATGTGTTTGTTTTCTTAATTTTCCTTTCTCATAGTTTTTTATTAGTACATAAAAATGCAACTGAATTCTGGATATTTATTGTGTATCCTGCTACTTTACTGAATTCATTTATCAGTTTTGGTAGTGGTTTTTTTGTTTGTTTAATGGAATCTTTAGGGTTCTGTATGTACAGGATTATATTATCTGCAAATACTTTTTTTTTCCAGTTTGGATGCCTTGCTGTTTAAGTAATCTTGGTTGTAGGTCCTTGTTTTTCATCATCTTGAATATTTCATGCCAGTTGTTTCTGGCCTGAAATGTTTCTGTTGAGAAATCAGATGCCTGTCGTATGGGAATTCTCTTGTAGATAACAAACTGTTTTCCTCTTGCAGCTTTTAAGATTCTTTCTTTGTCTTTAATCCTTGCTATTTTAATTATGATGTTCTTTGCTGTGGGCCTCTTTGGATCCATCTTGTTTGGGACTCTTGGTACTTCCTGGACTTCTGTGTCTTTTTCCTTTACTAGGTTAGGGAAGTTTTTAGTCATTATCTTCTCAAATAGAGTCTTGATCCTTTTTTCCTCCTCTTCTCCTTCTGGTACCCCTGCGATACAGATATTGTTAAATTTCATGTTGTCTCAAAGGTCCCTTAAACTATCTCTGTTTTTTTCTGCTCGAATTGTGTGTTTTCTGATACCTTGTCTTTCAAATTGTTAATTCAATCCTCTGCTTTATTCCTTATAGTGTGTTCCTTATTGCAGATATTATATTCTTCATTTCATTTTTAATAGAATGGGGAAGGGAGGGAAAAGAGAAGGAGAGAAACATCAGTGTGTGGTTGCCTTTTGCATGCCCCCAACTGAGGACCTGTCCTCAACCCAGGTACATACCCTGAGTGGGAATCAAACTGGCAACCCTTTGGTTCATAGGCTAGCACTCAGTCTACTGAGCCTTACCAGCCAGGGCTAGATTCTTCATTTCTGGCTGGTTCTTTTTTATGGTTTTTATGTCTTTTTTATTGCTGTTATAGTTCTAAGTTCCTTGTAGTTCTAAGTTTCTTGAGAATCTTTATAATCTTTTTTTTTAAACTTTAGATCTGATAAATTCCTTGCTTCCTTTACTTAGCTCTATTTTTGGAGCATTCTCTTGTTCTTTTTTTGTAGCATGTTTTTTTATCCCCCATTTTTGCTGCATCTTTGTATTTGTTTGTGTGTATTAGGTAGATCTGTTAGGATTCTCAGTCTTGGTAGGGTAGCCTTATGTAGTAGCTGTCCTGGGGAGTCCAATGGTGCAGTCCCCTTGATCACCTGAGCTGGGTGCTCTAGGAATGTGCATTCTGTGGGCCCTGCTGTTGTATTTAAGTCTGGGTTGCTATTGGTCCATTCATACATGAGGTCAACCCTCAGGCTGGCTGACTGTGGGGATCAACCCTGATCACAGTGTACAAGCTGCTGTACAGGTGCTGATCCACACAGAGTGTAATTCACCTTAGCTGTGTCTAGTGCCTGCCAAGATCTCCCTTTGGATATACCTCTTGCGAAGCTAATTGGGTCTTGTTCTGATATTGTTTGAAGCTGTCCGCTAGGTGTGTTAGTTCTGGGGCCTCTTGAGAGGGACTCTGGTGCAGCCCAATGCCAGTTGCTGCCTGTGACTGGCCATGGGCAAACTGTTTGCAGATGCAAAGTGATCCATTGTTTGTGGCTGCCTTTGCTGGGCCTGGGTGTGCATGGGATGGACCAAGCTACCCACCAGGGCTGGCTTTTACCAGCACTAGGTTCAGGGTTAGGTTAGCAAATGTGCTAAAACATCTCGAGATCCACCTCCACCTTCCTCTTAGTCTTGTGGTGCTCAAATTGCATAAAGTAGGTTCTCAGTGAGTCACCAGGCAGGGGGCTAATAGTGTTCACTAGATTGATGCAAGTTCAAACTTGGCACCAGTGCTGAGTCTGAGGCAATTCAGCAAATGTCCCAAGGCATACCAAGTTTAGTTGCCACCTGCTGGGTGCTCATAAACCTTTGCGTTGGGGTGGGATCTCAGGGAGTTTTTCGAGTAAGGTCAGCAGAGTTTATCAGGGTAGAACAGACCAGGGGTTGGCCATGTGAAGGGGGAGGGTTCTGCACTGATAGATGTACAAGAGAAAAATGTCCCCTGCCCTAGAGCCACACAACTCAGTCTATTCCAGATTCTGCCTAGTGCCTGATCTCAGCAGGGTGGGACCA